AATCCATATTGTCAATTAAATTTTTTTTTCAATTTATAATTGTGACGTATGTGTCATTGTACCATAACAATGGATTTACCTACGTCACATTCTAATCAAAATATTTATTATTTGATATGATGGAATGCCATTACGTTATTTGACATTACAGCATAATTTCTAACACGTTTTGTTGTTATAGAAATGCATCATCAACATTTCCCCTGGACGACCTTCCGATACCCTTTTTCTTTGCCGTTGTTATCAACAAAAATATAAACAAAAAAAAATCTGATGAAATCTTTATCAATTCGTCAAAAACAAAAAAATGTGCATTTTTTATTTACGTTGCACACCAGTAAGTCAATCATTGTTGTTGTCTGTTATTTGTTTAATTTTATATTTGTTGTAATAAATATTGTATTGGCAAAGTGAATGTAATGAAAACAAAATATATATAAATATATGAAATATTTTGATAAGCAAAAAATAATAAGGCTCGGTGGCATGTGCACGGACCCCCAATCAAGCTTTGTAAAATTGCACTTAGAAACACTGGATCGATCTACTAGTCGGGGATTACAAAAAAAAAAACATAACAAAAGACAGGGCAGTATTTATTGACGTAGTTCGTTCGTTGCCGCATTCTGACTTGAGACCGATTGCAAACCTCGGCCAGAAGAATTCCACAAAACAATAACATGTTTACCGTTCAATTACATTTCAGAAGAGATGCGATTTTTGAATCGCCTTTTTTTGTTGATAAGTCAATGGAAAATATATTTTGTTTATAATAAATTAAATTATAAACAAATTATGGAAAAAAAAGTCAAAATAGGTTTAAAAAAATAATGCACGTATTAATTGAAAAAAATACATATATTTGATAGAAAACTATGAACCTGCGAGAATATTTACTTTAACATTTAAATAGATTCAATAACTTCGAATACACAAAACCGAAGAAATAATGGAGGTAAAGAAGAAAAATACAACTCTGCAGTGTTGTCTTATTGTGTCACATTTAGTTATATATTAAATTAATAGGTGTGTTATTATAAAAATATTTTTTTTCCTATTTACCATAGTTAGGGATGTTTAAAGATTGTTCCCCCATGAAACATAGGTGAGGACATGTTATAATTATACAAGGTAGTCTCATGCAGTTATATGTTTCTAAATTTTTTCATAAATTTACTTTTGACAACATTCAGCTTTCAAAATTTAAATGAAAACATTTTCCTTTGAAATATACGCAAATCATTTGTCCAGTGGTAAAAATTTCAAAAAAAATTTATTTAATATTATTTAAAGTTCCCTGCCTCTAAAACTCATAAAAATATCCATTTCTCAAATGAGACTACCTCGATTAATTATGCCATGGGTGAGGATTTCTTGAAAAAATATTTTTTACCCATCTACCTGAGGTAGGAATGTTTTCAAAAAATATATTTTTTCTCATCTATGTTTAAAAATATATTTGCATCTCTAAAAAACTGATCTACTATAGGCGGGGATATGATAAGTCCAATTAATACGGTCCTTCAGGGAGACCAACTGAGTATCAGCTGCTTCTCAAGTTTTCTGTCAAAATCCGCTATTGTGAATTGGATTCAATTATGAAAACGTCATGGCATAATTATACAAGATAGTTCCATGCAGTCATATATTTTCAATTTTTTTTTTCATAAATTTGCCTTTGACAGTATTCAGCTGTCAAAATTTAAATGAAAATATCTTCCTTCGAAATGTACGCATATCATTTTTTCAGTGGCAAAAAGTGCTAATTTATATTTATACATATTTTGAAGTTCCCTGCCACTAAAACTTATAAATATAAGATGTAACAACCATGGTTAAATCTTGAGAGTAACGTTCAGCTTTGGAAAATATATTTTGTTTAATTTATTGAAAATATGCCAATGGATTTACATAAAATTTTTCTGGAATTTATTTTTCATATTATTTCACATTTGGTCTGTTCCAGAACCTGCAAGAATGTACAATTTTTTACTACGATAACGATTTTTCCTTTATGATATCGAAGAAAATAGTAAAAATTAGTAGATTCTTGCAGTACGGGAACAGGCCAATTGATAGATGAGTTCCAAATTAATAAGAGTTGTCACGATCAAATTCTCAAATGAGACTACCTTCTGTAATTATTCAGGGAGACCAGCTGCATATCAGCTCAGCTCTCAAGTTTTCTGTCAAAATCCATTATTGTGAATTGGCTACCAAAGGCTCATTAGTATGATCATGATGCAATAATAACATTTTTTTGTCTCGATTATCTGTCAAATTTTCCTTATAATATTTGAAAAAGTTGGCAGCTTTGCACATCGAATTCAAGTAAAATTGACCACTTTGACAGTTATTCAAGACATCAGCTGCTTTAAGTGGACTACATATTCATTGTGCCATGAGTATGATCATCCAGGAAGATCAGGTGTTTCTCTTGTTTGTTGTAAAAATCCATTACGAAAATCATCCTGATACGAAAAAAGGATACATATCAATTTTTTGGATTCAGTGACCCACAATTTAGAGACGCTGAAAGTTTCGTCCCAAAATTCGAATAAAATAATTACAGCACTATTCCGGTTAATTGATTTTGGACTTAAGAAAAAACAGCTGTTTTTGTGATTTTTAAATATTTTTTTAACTATCAAAACCTATATTATCAACACTTTTATAAATATATATTTAACAGCGTTTTTATATATAATTGTTTTATGTTCTTAACATGATATATTTTTATTTAATATATTCACTTTTTTATATTTTCTTGATTTTCTTTTTTAAATCACTTACCTTGTAATGAAACGCATCTTGAATAAATATAATTTGTTTTTCTTTTGTTATTAAATATTAAACACTTTATAAATATAAAAATATATTAAACTATTGTTTTTTTCTTTATTGTTTTCTTTAACACAAAAATTGTAAATAAATTGAATATTTTGAATCGACTAGTATTGGATTGTTAAACACTTTGTACTATTCTTTTTTTGAAATTTTCTTTTACTGAAACGTTGAACTGGCAAAGAGCTTTGCTTTATATATCACGAGTGTGGGAATTTTTTCAAAATCTCCGTTGTAAAATTGTGTATTGAATGTGTGTGTGTGACAGTTAGTCAAGACGTGCTTATTTATTGAGCGTGAGTTGTACGTTAAAAATAATAGAAAATTTTTCGCCTGAACACACATTAAGTTTGGAAGATAAAATAAATTGAATTTCTGTTATTTTTAATTCAATTTTAATTCTAATTTTAATTCATTAATAATATGTCAATATTATAGTACGTTTACATTGTACCGGATTTCATTAACCCAGTAGGTTTCAATTATCAATTCCATTGTCTATTTGTCAAATAAATCTTCTGACAATTAACTGTCGTGTCGCTTGTAAACGCAGCGTTAAGGTACGTATACGACAAAATCCATTAATAAGGTTACCCATCAAGCGAAAGTCAGCTGTTTTTTCCTCAAGTCTAATGTCATAAAATTGCACACAATTTGCAAATCACAATAATTGATTTTGATAGCAAACTTGAGAAGCAGACCTTTTTTATAGGCCTTGTGAGAATGTAAGCAACGTCCAAATTGTTGATATATAACATGAAAGCAAATATCTTTTTTTGTTTGCTTTCTGTATGACCTTATTAATAGAAACATGAATATTTTCATGAATGTCTAATGAATGACGAATATGAACAGTCACACGATCAAATTGTCAATTAAAACGGCTGGAGTGCATACATGTTTATAAAAAATCCCATGGCATAATTATACAAGGTAGTCTCATGCAGTCATATGTTTCCAATTTTTTTCATAAATTTGCCATTTCAGCTATCAAAATTTAAATGCAAATATCTTCCGTCGAAATGTACGCATATCATGTGTTCAGTAGTAAAAATTGCTAAATTAAATTTATAATTATAAATATTTTGAAGTTCCCTGCCTCTAAAAGTTGTAACAACTATGGTTAAATCTTGAGAGCAATGTTTGTTTAATATTTTGTTTAATTTATTCGACATCCATAAAATTTTATGGAATTTATCTTTAACGTTATTTGATAGAGGAGTTCCATGATGCAATAATAAGGTGATGTATCCAAACAAAAACATTTGTTTTTGTCTCGATTATCTATCAATTTTTGCCATATACTATTTCACATGGTTGGCAACACTGTGCATCGAATTCAAGTAAAAATTACCCACTTTGACAGTTAATCAAGACGTCAGCTGCGCAAAATGGACTACCTATTCATTGTGCCATTGACTGTCTATTTATTGTGCCATGAGGAGTTCCAAATTAAAAAGGGTTGCCATGATCAAATTCTCAAATGCGACTACCTTCTGTAATTATACCATGACATGTTTATAAAAAATCAAATGTTCCAATGTTTTATATGGCATAAGAGACTTGCTCCAAAATAATTTTGTTTTTATAAATATTTTTTTAATAATTTGTCATTGTTTTACAACTTTGGTAACAATATTATTACTCCGTTCTCATTAAAGGCACTCTCCATCTTTTTGCCTGGCATGTGAACCACCCTTTGTTTACAATTAACAACCAAACTTGACAGAATTTTCTGGAGTGGCTCGCTTTTCAGTTTGGTTGGTCTCGCCGTCAGTAGAGCAAGCAGGATAACACAAACAACGAGAAAACATTTGAGTACTTGAGAGTGACGTTTGGGTTTGCAAAAAAGGAAACATTTCTTCACACGGCATTCAATTTATTTTTTAAACAATAACTGATTGTCTCAAATAAAATAAATTAACTACAATGCAGTAAGTACATCTCTCCCACTTTCGTTTATAGTGTAAACAAGGTTATTCTTGTAACAATGTTGTTGTTTTTTATATACAGAAGGCCGGTAACAGCTATTGCGACAGATTATCTACCATCAACATCACAACAGCATCCACACCAACAACAACAACCACATCAAATTTTTATGCCGAATGTAATGCTGCAACCAGCAACAGCCCTGCAGCCGCCAGTAGCAGCACCCGCACCGATGACAACACCAACAACAAATTGGAGTATGGAATCAATGCCATGGAAAATCCAGAAAACCGATCATACCGGAGATGTGATGGAATTTACCGCACATACACCGCACAATAATAGCATTATACATCGCGCGTTATTACATCAGAAAAGAAAATCGGATCCAGTGCCGCCACCATTGTAAGTAGACAAAGGATAGAGATAGATAAAGATTTTGCTATGGATCTCCTTGAGGGGAAATTCAATGCATATAGAGGATGTTCTGATTGTTTTGGTGTATTTGAAAGATTTGCAATGAGTATTCGGTGTAGAAAACCTCCATGGTATCTTCGGTATATTTGGAGTACAACTAAGGTGTCTTATATACATAAATGAGATCTCTAAGATGTCTTCCTTGTATATGAACAACAACCCAGTGGGCTTCCCTGTATAAATGAGGACTTTCTATATAAAATCTGCTAGGGGTCTTCAGCGTCCAAGGCTTTATTTAGAAAAATCCCTTAATATATTATCTCCAAAAAAAGAGATTTCTAAAAGGTCGTCTGTATATTTGAATCTTTCGCACATTTGGAAGTTTTATAAGGCTTCTTCTGTATCTGTAAAATTTATACTCTAATTCCTGCTTTCATTTTTTTCTTCTCTTCCATCTTTCTCAGACTTCTTTGAGGTTTCCATATTCATTGAGTATCCCTTGGAGGTCCTCTATATCACAATAAAAGACACATTGGAAATAATCCAAATACACCGAGAATAACAGCGAGGTCTGCTTGAAGAAACGTTAAAGGTCTTCAGTATACAAAGAAGACGCAAAAGGGGGTCTTCGATAAGTAGAAAATACCTCTTGAATTTAACTCGAAGACTCATAGGAGGTATTCGACATAGAAGGTCTTTTAATTCATAAAATATCCCTTGAAGATCTTTCACATTAATTGAATACACCTTGTAGATATTTCAAATATATCTCATAGAAAGTTCTGAATTCATAAAAGTTCCTGGTAGACATCTTGAAGGTATTCAGCACACAATGAAGACCTCTTCGAGGTTCTGAATATTTTATTATTTTCATAAAGGATTCCTTGGGCTCTTCCATGTAAACAGAAAAGCCCCAAAAAGTTATATTTCATACAGATATCTAAATCGAACACTCTTTGGAGGTATCTATATACACACAGAAGGTCCTTTATATTTGTAAAAAAAAACCTTGGAGCTCTTCAATATTTCTCGAATAGCACTAGTAGGTTTTCTAAATATACACAATATATATCGCAAAATACAGAATATGTATATCTAACGAAACAGAATATCTCTCTTCGAATGCTTATGCGAAGAATACGTCTTGGAGGTCGCACATATAAACAGGAGACCCTTTGAGGTTTTTTTTTATATACACAAAAGCTGTTTTATATTCATAGCAGACCCCTTTAATGGCCCCCTCAATAAAATTCCTATTCTAATTCATGATTTCTTTTATCTTACTCTTCATGTTATTCTTCCAGTCCCGTCAAACAATTCATATCGGAAGAAAAAATCACAGCCCATTTCAATGGCCTGCATATATCCAGTGATTATATACAACATGATACCGGTGGTGCCATTAGTGGTAGCGGCAGTGACACATCAACAACTGGCAAATGTTTTTCAAATCTAACCTATGAGGATTATCAAATGACTGCCAAAGAATTGGAAAAGAAACTGCTGAATGCAAATCGCATAACAATATGTGATGAATTGAAAAAGATCAGCGAACAGCCAGCACAGCATAGTGTTTCGTGTCTGCCCGAGACTTTACTGCATCGTTTCACTAAGCCATGCACTGCGCTGGTATTGTGGCAGCCACCACCACCCATTATTAATATGTTGAAATCGAATACAAGCCAAGCGGAAGAAGCTCAGTGCCGAAGACAACAAGAAACCGATTTAATTGTCGACGATGGTAAACCCGATGTAGATTTGCCACCAGAAAGGGACGATGATGATATCGACGATTATGTGGACAACAATAATACATGTAGTTTGGATTTTAATCACATTAAACCCGACAGCATGGACGAGGATATGTAGTTGTTTAAATATGCGTTTAACCTCGTTTTTTTTAATTACTAAAAACATATACAAATTGTAAAATATTTGTTTAGTATTAGGATTTAAATATTTTGTTTTTTAATCATTCAACAACGACTGCAAATGATTTTTTTTTCTTTTTTTGTTTTCTTCATAACATTATTAAGATCATCATTAATATCGAATTATTTTTTAATGTTTTTTTAATTGCTACTATTATTATATTTGAAATATTGCAAACATGTGATTTTTTACCCGATGCAGATCTAATTTGTATCCAAAACGACGACGAAGTTGCTGGGTTGCTAAAACCTTTTTATACTCCTATATTGACTATTCATATTTTTTTATAAATGGAATAGATAAATCATTAATTAATTAATAATTAAAAACGATTTTAAACCATTACGCTTTTCGATTTTATATTTTTTATTATTATATTTGTGAGCCGATTTGTTTTATGATATAATAAAGAAACGTAAAACTAAGTTAACTTTGATATATATAAAACAAAAGTAAAGAATTTTTTTGAATTATGTTTTTTTTCAATGTTTAGGGAAAATTTTTTTTGAATTAAAAAAAAAATTAAAGACAGTAATAGAATTTTGTCTAAACTTAGATTTCTTTAAATCATTTTTTTTCAATAATATTGTTTAAAAATTCACACCTATGTTGCTATGATAGCCATTAGATAAATATATATTTTAAATAAAACACGACTATATGGCTCTGATAATCGTTAGGAAAACCTAATGATAAAAAAGCAACACGTATAGGCCAGAGGTATTCTGATTATCCTCCTCTTAGAGGTCGAACTTCTATGTATACAGAATACCAATTCGCTTTGTTCACAAAAAAAGACCATGGAGATGATCAATATATACATATATAGACGACACCAGAGGTCCACTGTTAGAAGTCAATTATATTCATACAGATGTCTAAAAAGATACTTTGATATATTCAGAGGGCCATTTACATTCATAAAATACTCCTTGGAACCCCAATATACAAATAACAATCCTCAAACGTCTTCGATATCCTATATCATTTGTATTCATAGAAATACCCTATGAAAGTTTTTTTATATACGTTGAATACCCCTTTGGAGGTCTTATATATTCATAAAAATCCGGTCCGGCGGTATTCCAAATACATCTTGAAAGTCTTCGGTATACAAAGAAGAATCTTCGAAGGTATTCCCAGGGAGTCTTCTATATACCCAGAAGATATTTTTCGTTCGTAGAATACCTGTTGGAGATTGTCTGTACAAATCGACTACCACCCCGAATGTTTTGTAGAAGAATAGAAGATCGCTTGAAGAACATCTTTTTATACAGAGAACACCTCCTGGGGTCTTCAAAATCTCTAAAGCCCTTTTAGAACATTTCCAAATACTCGGAATCGGGATTTTTGCTGTATTTACAATAGACATCAATCAGTAGTCTATTGTATATACACCAAAGATCCCTTGTTGGCGTTTGTATACACCCAAGAGTTATTGGAGAGCTTTTAAAGACGCAGAATAAGCTTTCGAGAACTTCTAAAGATACGGAAACATTTTTGGAGACCTTCCGAATATGCCAACGATACCTTTTGTAGGTATTCTACACTGCAAAACCCTGCTTGAATGAATCTGTATATAGAAGAGACTTCGACTTTATACAGAATATGCCTCAAAGGTCCCCCATTATAACGAGAAGGCCTCTCCGAGATTTTTAAAATACACAAGAGTCTACTTTATGAGAGACAACCCCCCTAAAAGTATTCTAAATACAACGAAGGCCTACATAGAAGGTCTCTCAGACTTGTAGACCTTCCAAATATGCCGAAGATCCGTTTTGCAGGTATTCTACACTGCAAAACCCGACTTGAATGTCTTCTATATATAGAAGAGACTTCGACTTTATCTAGAAAATGCCTCAAAGGTCCCCTCAGAAGTCTGCTTTATGTAGAGACAACCCCCTAAAAGTATTTTAAATACACTAAAAACCTCTGCAAAGAAGTTTTTTTGAGATACGATCTTTAACGATTTTATAAATACATTGAACACCCCTGGGAGTCTGAAGACCCTTGGAGGGGTTTTTCAGACTGCAAAAACAACTTGAATGTTTTTATGTATAGAAGGTCTTCCTCTACATACATAGTAGACCCTTAAGAGGCCTCATTTATGCAAAGAAACCTTCTTGGATGTTTTCCATATCCACCGAAGACACCTTAGAGGTCTGATTTGTGTATTGGTATGTTCCCGTACTGCAAGAATCTACTACTTTTTACTACGATAACGAATTTTCCTTTATGTTATCGAATAAAATAGTAAAATCTAGTAGATTCTTGCATTACGGGAACAGACAAAATTACAGATCTTCTAAATCTTCTAAATACACCCACTACTTTTTACTACGATAACGAATTTTCCTTTATGTTATCGAAGAAAATATTAAAATCTATTAGATTCTTGCAGTACGGGAGCAGACCATATATAAGACCTCTTAGTTGTATACAAAATTACAGATCTTCTAAATACACACACTGCAGGTCTTCCAAATTTACCAACACCAATCAGAATATTATCTATATGTTTTGAAGTTCGCTTCGAGCAAGTGCATAGCAAAATCTTTAATATTTCTCCCTTTCTCTAACCCAGTAAATTTAATTATAGAATGATGTAAAATCTTATTATTGTCCTTTATTAATAGATCTTGGCCGGTACCAATCATGTGTAAATTTGATTCAAAAAAAAATCTCACCGAATTCTGTGTATTTATTTTTACAAAAACTTCATTATCAGAGCTGTGTAAATTTTATTTAAAAAATCACCACATAGTGTAAATTTTATATAAAAAAATCTATTGTTGCAACAAAAAATAATGTTTTAATTCTTAAAAATTTATTTTAAAATTTTCCCGCCTTTTTCTTTGATCTACAAAGCCATACAAATTCAATGAAACATTAACGCCATCTGTTTTTGTTTTCTGCACACAATCGTTCAAAAGTCGAACTAGTTAACCCTATACCTGTGCGTCAATGTACGTCAAACGTACGTATGTACCCCTATAAACTAGATGCCATTTGACTGGCCAAAGGTGTGGACGTCTTTAACGGATAAACGTCGTGCTTCAAAGAATTTTTTTTCCCGATTTTGTGCTACTCGGCGTGTGTGAATGTGTGTGCGGTTTTGTATCCGTAATATTTTAACGAAGCTGAAGAAAAAATTCATTTCCATTTCATGTGCAAAAATGAAGAAGGAAATACACTTTTAAGAAAGGAAAAACAAAACCTCAAGTTATTCTCAACAACAGTGTGTGTGAAGAGAACGGACGGAAAATAATAATTATTGTGCCGCAAATTAAAAAAAAGATAGAAAAACAGCAAAAAAAAATAATTTCAAGTGAAGTTTAGAATTGTGTTTAATTTTCCGAAATCAATATAGAAAAGTGGAAAGAACGAAGAAAACAGATTGCTCATAATCTTGGGAGCTCCAACGCCGCCGTATGCAAAAGGTGAATAGTTTTGTGTCTCTATAAATCAAAGCAAAGCCAATGGAACAAAAACAAAAAAAAGTAAAGCGTTTGCCGTCGACGTTGTTCTGCTTGTGCTTGCCTGCCTGACTGTTCAAGAGGGGGTCATAAATGGACAAATTAAAAAAAATCGTCATCAATGACTGATTTTTTTTTCTGTTCATTTCGCAGCTACTAAAGAAGAATATGTGCAAAAAAACAAAAACAACAACATTACAAAATCAGATAAACGAAATAATTTTGTATTATTTATTTGCCAGCCAGTCAGTCAGTCAGCCTGCCATCATTTTTAAGGCAGTGTTGCTGCCGTTAGTGTTCAGTTTGTGTGTGTGTGTCTGTTTGTGTGCTTCTGATAAATAAATAATTAAAAAAACTTAATCGATCTGCAAATTAATTAACAAGAAAATATCTTCAGATACAATAATGATTATTATTTTGTGCGTGCGTGTGTGTGTGCGAGTGAAGTTTATTAAGTTACAGTGTTACCCCTCTCTCACTCACGCGCTCTCTATCTCTCTGTTAAGCCCAACCGTGCTAAATTAAGCATGCACTTGTACGCGAAACAGCCCAATTAAAAAGTGAAAAAAATGTGCGTTCTTTTCTCGTGCGGAGGTTCGATGGAGGGAAGGAAAATCTGGAAGCTTGTTGAAGCAGAATCGGTTTGTGATTTGCTGTTATTCTACTCTAGTGGGACTGACTCCTCGTCCTCGTCGTGTAAATCCACCAAAGGTACATGGTACTAAAAGTTGTTTTATGAATGCCTGCCACCGTCGCCTTAGCTTCCTTCTGGTGTTGTGGATTTTTCAAAGGAGGAGGAGGGAATAAAAAGAATTCTGTTTTTTATTTTTGCAGCGGCGGCATGTTCGTGAATCACGAAAAATCGAGCAAAACGACAACGACGGAAAAATCAACAACGTAGTGATGGTCCTGCTTCGCTGTACGACATCCGTAGCCGGAGAACATTAGCGTTCAGCGACTTGAGTAGACTGAATAAATTTTCGATGACCTGATCAATTGTACAGCAAGTAGGGTTGCCATGATCAGTAAAATTGTTCTGAAGTTGGGGAAGTGCGGGAAATAGAATGGAATTGAAAAAGAATGTCAAACTGCAAGCATCTTCTAATAATCGAAATTATTTTCGATTTTCCTTTAAAATTTTTAAAATTTTTTGATTACGGGAACAGACTCTTAAATTATGGGATCTATAATAACATAAAAATATTATTAATTTTGAAAATGAAAAATCATGAATTTCTGGAACAACTCTAGTTCCGTAAAAACGAACCGAAGATCTATAATAGTGTAGTGTAATTATCCTAATTATGGGGTTGTATTTTTTTTTTTCTTGGGAGTCGTACCCGGTTTTTAGACTCGGAAGTTCGGATACAGGTACCCGGTTATACGAAACCTATTATTACAAAATCGGTATCACAATTAAGGTTATAAAAATGCCTATCTTTTGAGTGATTATCTCAATACGCTTGAGAGATACA